ATGCATGCATGCATACATGTATAACTGTATGCATACACGCATACACACATGTCTACATCTATATACACGCATTCAAACAACCATCCATACATACATACATACATGCATGCATACATATATACATGCATGCATGCATACATACATATGCACATGCATGCATACATTCATGCATGTATGCATGCACACAAACATACGTGCATCAATCCATCCATCCATCCATCCATCCATACATACATACATACATACATACATACATGCCTACATTACTACACATATACATACATGTGTACATGCATGCATCCATACACACCTACCTACCTACCTACCTACCTACCTACCTACCTACCTACCTACATCCATGCATGCATGCATACATACATACATACACACATACATACATACAGAATCATACATACAGACCCACACGCATACATCCATATAAGCATACATACATACAGACATGCAGAACACAACAAATAATAACAGCGTTGTCTTGGAAGCGCAGGCGAAGACAAACACAGGCACGAAGAGCTAGAACCGATACTCAGAGTTAGAGGGCCAAGCGGGGACTCGAAGGAAGGCTCGGGGAGGGATATACCTACCGATATGCATATATATATATATACAGTGAGAGAGGAGAGAGAGAGAGAGAGAGTCATTCAAAACGACAATTACTTCGCCGCCCTCGTTCTGATGTGTGTTCAACTCGGCGTTGCTAAGGTTATCGTTTTGTTGTCTTTGTCGTCGTCGTCCTCTTCGTCGTCGTCCTCGTCGTCATCGTCCTCGTTGTTGCCGCTGTCGTCGTCGTCGGCGTCGTCGTCCTCGTCGTTGCCACGGTTGTCTTCGTCGTCGTCCTCCTCCTCCTCCTTTCTCTCGTGGTCGTCCTTGTCGGTGCCGCGGTCGTGATCGTCGTCGTCGTCGTCGTCGTCGGCGGCGGCGTCGTCGTCGTCGTCAGCGTCGTCGTCAGCGTCGTGGTCGTCGTGGTCGTCGTCCTCGTCGTCGTCCTCGTCGTCGTCGTCGGCGTCGGCCGCCCTCGGGCGGGCAGGCCCGGCCTCCCGAGCCGCCCGCTCGGCCTTCTTCGCCTGCTCCTGCCGGTCCTGGGGCGAGGGCGAGGGCGGGGCACGGAGGGGGGAGGGAGGGAGGAGGAGGGAGGAGGGAGGAGGGAGGGGTAGGAGGAGGGAGGAGGAGAGGAGGAGAGGAGGAGGAGGAGGAGGAGGAGGAGGAGGAGGAGGAGGTGGAGGAGGAGGAGGAGGAGGAGGCAGGAAGGAGAGGAGGAGGAGGTGCTCGGGCGCGCGGGCAGACGCGTCCGCCCCTCGGAGGAGGGGGAGCCGTGAGGGGGGGGTGGGAGCGGCCGGGCGCTTGCGGGGGGGGGGGGAGACATCGAGCCCGAGTCGGCGATGCGTCGCCGAGGGGTCGGCGATGGGACCTCGATGGAGACGCCGCGCGTATCTGGGCGGGCGGGGCGCCCGGGCCGCGATCGGCGAGGCATGGGCGGGTGGGGGTCGAAGCGTTCCTCTTCCTCCCCTGGGCCAGTCCCCCCCCCCCCTCCCGTCGTGGACCCCGAAGCGCTCGCCCTCCCGCTCGGGGAGGATCGGGAACACCCTGCGAGGATTGGGCGGGTGGGGGTCGAAGCTTTGTCTCTCCCTGGGCCAGTCCCCCCCCCCCGTCGCTCGCTCTCCCACTCGGAGGCGATCGGGAACCCCCTGCAGGAAGAACTCACGAACTCAGCCCCCAGTCCTGATCCTCGAGCCTCCCCCGTTCCCTCCACTGCCCGCAGAGTGGGGGCCCAGAGGCAGGGGCGACCTATGGCGCGCAGCCTGTCGGCCGCCGCGCCGGCGGGAGCGGCCCCAAGCGGGATGGGCCTCGAGGCAGGATCCACTCTAGCAAAGAGAGTCACTCCTACGTGCCAGTAGACGTGTTAACCGCAGTGGGCCCCACGCATCGCGCTGTTGCACTGCAAAGGTGAAAGCTATCGTGTGTCAGCTATGTCGTACAACAAACTCCGTGGCGTGGGCTGATGGGGTGAACGCTATGCGGTGTAAGCTGTGGTGTACGCTATTTGGTGTAAAAGGCTAAGCAGTGGAAAATGGAGGTGGAGGCTACGGGGGTTGCGCTATTTGATGTAAGCGATGTTGTGTCAAATAGGCGGTGTAAGCTATGTGGTGAATGCTATGTCGCGTAAGCTCAGAGCACGGGGCGCCCACGAGGCGGCACGGGCGGCACCTTGGCGCACCCTCGGCATACCCCCAGCGAACGAGGCGCTCAAGAGGCGCCCGCGAGGAGACACGGGCCTCAACGTGACGTAACCTCGGCAGACCCCCCCCAAGCGCGGGGCGCCCACGAGGCGCCCACGAGGCGGCACGGGCGTCAACGTGACGTAGCCTCTGCCGACCTCCACGTCGCACAGAGCGCCCACGAGGCGCCCACGAGGCGGCAACGTGGCGCAACCTCGGCATTCCCCCCACAGCGCGGGGCGCCCACGAGGTGGTACGGGTACGGGCGTCAACGTGGCGCCACCTCGGCATACCCCCCCAACGCGGGGCGCCCACGAGGCGTCCACGAGGCGGTACGGGCCGCAACGAGGCGAACATCCAGAATGCCAGCACATCGCCTCCACGAACATGTGTATGCATCTATGTATACATGAACGAATCAGTATTCAACGAACCCTAAGACCAAGGACCGGTTGGGGAGTCTTGGGGCACATCATCCGTCCATTGAAGTTCCCAAGATGCCCAAACATCTTCTCTGAGCGCCTCCTGGGGCCCTGTTGGCACCTGCTGGCAGGCCGATTACTTCTTTGAGGTGCCTTCGCTAGCCTGGCCCCGCGGAGGGCAGACAGAAGGGGAATGGGCCCCGCGTGGCTCCCAAACCCGGGTCAGCCAGAAGAAGTTGGCTGACCCCCGTTGGTGCTGACTCCCGTTACAGTCGGACTTGATCGGAGAGGACACGCGGGAGGACACAAGACCCTTCCGAGGGATACACTGCCGTAGGAATGTCACAGGCACGCCTCTTTGAAGACAGGACACAGGGCTACCCTTGACGACTTAGCAAGGTCGACCTACTAATCAAGGCCGGCTGTACGTGAACCCGCACCCGTTCCCAACAACCCCCCCCCTACGGCAAGCTCGTGCTGTGCCGACTTCGGCGCTGGCTTCTGACACCGCGGGGAGGCCGCGTCGAGCGGCGTTCAGCGTCGAGCGCTGGCGGCGGGGCCGCCGCCTGTCGACACACGGCGCGCTCCTGCCGTACGAGGTCAACGCCCGCGCCCTGGAGACCCCAGGGACCTGATGTCGTGATTTTGCCCATGCGGGGTCCCCAGGAGCCTCGACCCGTTCCCCGGGGCAGGTTCTTCAGCATGAGTCGTTTGCTGACGGCCCTGGGGCCCGGCGAGGGCCTCCGGAGGCTGGCAGCTGCGAAGAACCTTCGCCCTTGCTCTTGTTGTCAGTGCGTCGGATCTCTGGGATCCACCCCCGCCCATCGCCTGCGGAGGCGTGCCTGGGACCGAGCTCGCTCGGGGCGCCGGGGGCAGGCACCACCCGCCCTGGGAGGGCTGGCGCGCACGAGCAGGCGGCCGTGCACGCCAGCGCTCGGCGTGTGGTTCGCGGCGGCGGCCCCGGAGCGACCCGCGCGCGTCGCTCCGCTCCGCGGGGCCGGGGCTCGGAAATCCCAGAGGGCGCGCAGGCTGGCCACCCGAGCGAACGCGTCGAGCTCCCGGCCGCGAGAAGCCCCCAGGAGTCCCCGAGAGGCCCCCACGAGGCCCCCACGAGGCCCCCACGAGGCTCCCAAGGAGCCCCCCCAAGAGACGCTCCCAGAGGCAACAAAAAGCTGCAGCTCGAGGCGAGGACGCTCGGGGGCCGGGACACGGGCCACGCGTGTCGCACCGCAGCGCGGCGGGCCAGAGCCAGCGGAACGACACGCGAGTCCAGGAGCTCCCGACCGCAGCAGGGACCACACTCAGCATTACGTCGGGCCTGTCCCCCTACAGGGGGATTTTGGACGAACCACAAAAAGGCGCAAAAAATATTCAAAAGATGCCCGGTGGGCCTCGTCCGCAGGGGGCACCTTGGCGGCGAGTCCTGCTCGAAGCGGTGAGGGGCTGCTGGCTGGCTAGCGTGCCGCAGCTCTCCGTCCCCGCCTGCGTCCCCCCAGGGGGGGAGGGAAGCTGCAGTCGGACTCGAGTGGACAGGACACGCGAGAGGACACAAGACCTTCCGAGGGCCACACTGCCACAGGGATGTAGGAAGCATGGGTCGCGAAACACAGGACACAAGGGTACCCTTGATCTGGCAGGGTCGACCTACTAGTCCCGGCCGCCTGCATGTCCCAATATGCCGCGCCGCGAGGCATCCTCGGCGACGCGCCTCCAGGCCGGAGGGGTCGAGACAGAACGCACGAGGAGCGGAGGGAGGAGCAGGACGAGGAGGAGGAGGAGGAGGAGGAGGAGGAGGGGGAGAGGAGGGAGAACCAGAAGCGAAGCTGGCGAGGAGGAAGACAAAAAGGGGGCGGGGGCAGAGGCGGAGGAGGAACCGTGCGGAAGCGAATGATGACACAACGAAGCCACCTTCGCCGATATGGACGTTCGAAGGTCCGCTCAACCCTGGCGCGTTGGGCGCCCCGAGGGCGGCGCCAGAGGCGTCGCCAGGGCCGATCCAGCTCCGATCAAGGAAATCGGCGCGCACCTGCGAACACCATCCATGCTCCCAACGTGAGGAACTTCCTCGTCCTCCTCCTCCTCCTCCTCCTCCTCCTCCTCCTTCTCCTTCTCCTCC